TCAATGAGGACACTGCCTGCAAATTAGATTAGGCAGGATGCTTTTACATTAGCAGGGCAGCTATCAGCATACATAGGGTCATTCACCTCAACTTGGAATGAGATTCATATTCTTGATATCTTTGGGAACACTACCAGCAAACATCCCTAGGCTTTGCTCTTTATAAGACATAAATAGCACCACATTTCAGAGGCCATTTAACAGACCTATGTCTTCATTAACAAGAGCAATGTCTGACTTTATCATGATTTTTAGTAGCCAAGGCTAGTTAAAAGAATATGGGATATGGTGGAGACTTACCAGGTAGGGAGATGGAGAGAACCTAATATATGTGGTCAATATACTGGAGGAGGCCAGTGTTGGGCATCAAGGAGTCAGCTATCCCAGCCTGGAAAGCTGGTAAGTCTCATTACATGCTGGGAAAACACTTGGTCAAATGGTTGCCTCCTGAACCTTGGAAAAGAGACCATGTGCTGACACAGGCTATAGAGCTAGGAGAATAAAAAGAAAAGCCTCAGGGTGCTGAGATATTGCTATTGTGTCCGTGACTTCTTTGTAGCTTTCAGCAAAACTTGCAAGAAGGAAGGACACAGGCTAGAGCCAGCCAGGCAGATTTTATGTTTTGTCTTGTCAGGTCACTAAGAAATAGGCAAATCAAAGGAGAAGCAGCACTCACAGGGACAGGGAATTACTGCAGGGGAGGAGAATCCTGAAACTCAGGGATATTTCTGAGAATCTAGAGGGTTATTGGTACAAGGCCAAGGAAGTCCCCTCATTTTCATGGTGTTGACACTACATCTCTCACATACACAAGGACAAAACACATGACTGCAAGGCTAATCATTTATTGACCAAGTACATAAACTTTTTGACTTATTCATGGCAGAGTTCTCTGGGTATGGCACAGAGAGTGAAATTTGGAGAAATTTCTTCATTCTTGGTAAGCTGTTGATCTTTCTAGTTAATTAGGGAAAAGTCTGAAGATGCAGAGATAATGCTTTCATGTGAAATAGTGATGGCCATCAGGTCACAGAACTTGTCCCAAGATGTCGTGGGGCCATGGAATGGAAGATCCTGGAGCCCAGATGAGGAACCATTCACTCAGCACTGAAGAAACATGTGAGGAAGAGAACTCAGTAACTCATAAGCACTTCCTGGATTGAATTGAGGACAGAGACATTCTATTGGAGAAAAGTGATGAAGAAATGAACATGAGCCTGCATTCCAATATATGTTCATTGCCAGAATAGAGGGAAGAAGGGCATTTGGTCAATGACTCTTTATTATCCCTTACAGATCTCATCTTAACTTTCCCTCAACCAAGTCTATGATAAACATAGGAATCAATGAAGGATCTTAGGCTGCTTTCTGCCATCCTCAAAATGGGGAGTACTGAAAAATTGTTGATCGATTGAGAAAGAATGGCAAAAGCCATAGTTGCTTTTTATTAAATATGCAATTTCCGCAAGCCATAGTTGCTAACACCTTCCCATACACTATCTGAAAGCAGCCCCACAATACATCTTAGGTAGGAAACAGATGAGGAAACTCAGAATCCTTTCTCCAGGTTGGAAAACAACTGGAAGGTCAAACAGCTCTATTCCCACAACAGAAGTTGAAGGTGAGCAGACATCAAAGCCAGACATTTTTACCAAAATTGGAGGGTGAGATGGCTTTCTGGACTTGGAAGACACACAACAAACAGAAACGTATTTGAGCTTCATACTCACACACATTTGCTCTTTTCCCATTTCAAAATTTAAGTCTTAACGATGTGAAGCACATTAACAATTACTGAGCCCTTTTCACCAGCATATATCCACACAGCAACTCTGCAAGGTAGACATCATTGTTTCCCTTTTAATTGCTTGGTCATTTGCTCTAAAACTCATGGAAGGAGTGGGTCCTGAACCCAGGATGTACAACTCCTACTTTCAAGCTCTCCCCACAACCTTACTTACTAAATGATTCTTATTTTAATCTCTGCATATAAACTCCTAATGCATTTGGAAGGCAGTAGTCCCTGGGCCACACCATTTTATCAAATATTACCAACCTGGAGGACTGGGCTAGTAGCTCCCTCGGGTCTGGAGACAGCGATCTGCAGAGGTAGAGCAGAGCACATTCAGACACCAACCCCAGTGATTTCCCAGACAAAAATCAAATTATTTTGTAGGTTAGGACAATGGGGACTCATAGGAGGTGTTATCTTCTCTTGGGTTTCTTGCTTTAGTAACATGACAATTTAGGAAGAGGAAACAAAAGATAGCTAAACTCACCGACTTTGGTCAAATCAAGAATGTTTTCATTAGGAATTCCATATGTCTGACACACTTCTCCAAACCACGTTTTTATTTCTGGACTCAAATCTGGTGTTCGGCCTGTGGGAACATTGACAGTAACTGTGTTGTCTCGCGTATTGGTCATTGAGGTCATGGCGGATGGGTGGGTCTCCAGATGGATGGAAAAATGGAAGACACTGATTGATGCTTAGGGAGAAGACTTGGGAATAGATTATAACCTGTATTGATTATCTTCGTTTTGGTAGCCTACTGTCACGATGAGATTTCATAAACATCCCACCTCCGAGTTTGAGGGGTTACCCAAGGAGAGCATCTCTCTTGAGAGGAAGAAAGACATCCCAGGTAGTAATGGGAGGAACACCTTGTTTCCAGGTTTCCTTTCTTTCCCTGCCTCCCAACCCAAAGGTGAGTGTCAGCATTAAAGTACTCTACCATATAAAAACATCACTTGGAATTCTTTCCCCTTGTTGAAATTCACGTTGTGAAAAAGAACATATTCATCATAGACTGCTTCAATTATGCGAAGTCTATTGTATCCATCATCTGTGGAGGAAACAGAAGAAAGCTCAGAATTTCTTTGGTCCATGGGAAGCAATTGAAACTACCTATTCTCTTCCACAGAACAAATTCAAGTGCATATCCTAGAAGAGTTAAGGAATGATATATAAGGCCTTCCATTTGTATCTCCCTGGGCTTCATGTGGTGACTTCTAAGGGTAGAACTGACTCCTCATAAAATTTCTTCCACTGGCAATTGACCCGTAGTGGAAAAAATCTTCAGCCACAGCAGCAACTTACCCTCTGTCATCCTCCTTGAGACTCACCTACCTCCTCCAGCCATCTCTGCCAACTATGTGTCTCTGTCCTGTCTTTAAGCCCCACTGGCATTATATACCCAGCACTCTGTCCAAGTAATGGCTGTGGCATTGGCAACCAGACATCATCACAAAATGGGCAGAGAATGAGCAGCTATCCTGACAATTTACTTTTTCCTTTTTTTTTGTTAATTTTCTTTTATTGCAGGAGGTACACATGAGCAAATTGCCATCTTTATCTGATGGTAGTATGTGCATGGTGTTCGCTTTTACACACAATGTTCTCCCAAATTTGGGATATTGCCTATCAGATGACCCAATTACATTAACTAAAGAAGCATTGATCACGAATTGATTAAGATCCTGCAGATACTGGGGTTTGGTAAATTTATTGTAGTTGGAAGAAGAATTTAGAGAGACATTTTTTTGTATACTTACATAATATACTGTATGTATCATCCTGTGATGTTTCGTCAGCAATAACAGAAATCTCGCTACACTGTCCATTTTCCCTGTAAAACAAAATGAGCTGTTGCCCAAGATATATTGATGGGGCTGGCTCCCTCACTCTACCTGTAACTTGAGTGCCTGATTCCAATTAACTCCTGAACATTTAGGTACAAATATGAAACAGCTTTCATTCACATTATTTCACTTTATTTGATACTTTAAGAATGAGTCAACTACTGCTATCACTATTACTCTACCACTATTTCCCACTATCACTATGACTGCAGCTACTTCTCTGTATAATTAGCTGAGGGCTCACATGTGCCAGCCTCTCGGTTGAGTGCTTTACACCCAGACATTACTTCACTTGGTCCTCACAAAAAACTGTGAGAGAACATTATTATCCTTCTCTTTTACCCAAGGGAAAATAGGGGTGGAAAGCGAACAGTTTTCTAGGTGACATAACTAGTAAGAGATAGATTGGAGAAATAGGTAGGCTATGATCCCCAATCCTGTTGCTCCTAACCTACGTATATTGCCAGACTACTTAGGATTCCGGTAAATCTCCCCCCTTACCGTCTCTACTCTCATGGAAATTTGTTGCTATCACTAATTTTTCTCAGTGAATCCAGAAAAGCCCCAGGTTCTTCAAGTCCTGGGTTAATGCCAGATAGTGACTATGATTTTGGATACAGGTCCACAATGTATGTACACATGTACGTGTGTGTGTGTGTGTGTGTGTGTGTGTGTGTGTATGACTGTGTGTGTAGATCCAAGATCAAACTCAGGCTTCTGGGGTTTCTTATCAAGGAAAAAAATTCCTACTTACCTTACGGAGGTTTTAATTAACATAGAAGAGCTATCCAAGGCTTGGATATGTTCCACAAAAATCCTGAAGTTGCCATTTTCTTCTATCTTTTCCATCTCATCTGAGGCCAAGAGAATTGTATACCAATCTCCTGAAAACTGCAATAAAATCAGTAAACTGATTGAGTTGTAAAACAATAGGGGACACCACATGCAGCCTTGTCGCCTTGAACTTGGCCCGCTGGCCAGGACTAATAATGATGATGTGAAGATGGAATTAAAACTCGGGCCAATTGCCACCTCATGAAAGGCTCTTCCTACTGTCCCTCCAGTGAGAATGGAGGTCCCCAAGTGTTGTCATCTTTTCACATGGTACAATTGCTCTTAGTCCAAGGTCACAAACCACCTCCTTTGTCTGCTATGTAAAGAACGCCTGCCCTCCAGTAGAGCCCTTTGCCTTAGAATCCTCCAAGCCACCCCACAAAGTCAGAAGTCACTATGCTCCGCCAACTCTACCTTTGAAAGATCGAAGTTGCTTGTCACAACATCATCATGTCCTTTCTTATGTGCCCAGACTAGAGTCAACCCCAGACACAGCAACAGCAGCTTCATCTTGGCAGGCGACGGTAGTGACTCAGCTACAGTCCCTTGGAGTGAGTCTCTCCCTGAAAGTGGCTCCACTGCCCAGCTCCTCTGCCTTTATATTCATTCTGAGTCCAGTTATTTGTCCACGGGGTGCCAACTTTCCTCCTCCCACTCCGTGAAATGCCCTGTCATTCACTGGTGTGAGGCCAAGATTGTTCCTGCTTTTTTGCTACTTGTCAATCTCATTTCTTTTAGGTCTACTTATGACCTTAACTGTCTCAAAACAAATACTCAAAAAATAGTAGACGTCATAAAGCACTGCCTTTAGTAACCAGATTTAACTGTGGATCTGGCTTGGAATCAGAAAGCCAATTATGTCTGGCATGAATGGAATAGAACTTAGAAAAATGGAATCTGTCGGGCGCCTCTATTCAAGCATTCACATGTTTTGAGGAATTACATCAGTTACCCCATGGTAACTAGCCTCAGAAACAAAAAAAAAGAAACTGTTTTACCAAGCATGACAGCACCTATCACAAAGCATGCAAATAGAGATGAATAATATATGGTGGAACAGAATAAGGTCTTGAATAGAATGGTGCTCTGTATTGAGCACATTTTAATTCATTTTTCTTGTCATCTAAATTCAACCACTGTAGCCTTTCTTATTCCCACAATGAACAAATGTATTCCTTTCATTATGTATACCTCGCTATATACCTCAGACCCTTAATAGAAATGGAGAATTAGAAGGTGTCATTTCTTCCTTCAAGCAACTTTCAATGAAGGTGGCGAAATCCTTCATTCTTAATAAAAACTCAATTCTACAAGCATATGAAATAATCCAACTGAGTGGGACAAAGTCCACACCACTTTGCATCAGAAAGTGATGCTAAGGAGGTGGCATCTCATGGAAAGTGCTTAAGAACACAGGAGTCCTGTAGACCTGGGCCTCATTCCTATCTCTGCCGTTTAGAAGCCATGAGGACAAACTGAACCTCTGGGAGCCTTAGTGTCCTCTTACTGGGGTAATTGTACCCGCCTATAGATTGCTGGAGGGATTCAGTGGGATGATGTGCGTAGAGCCCTCAGGCTAATGTCTAGCACACGTTGGGCTGGGGGGGTCTGAGAATTTTCCCTGGAGTAGGTGGGACTAGAGGAGGCCATGAACGCTAGGGAGGTGTGGAGACGCGGAGAGCCTTTTGGAAGGAAGAGGATTCCTGGTGAGAGGAAGGTTGTGAGTTAGGCTCCTGTGACCTCATTTGGGGCTTGTTGAAAAATGGGGCTCATTTTACTCTTGAACTAATGGTTCCCTGTTGCACCCAGAAAACAGAAAGAGGCCAGTGTGATGGGTGGAGCTGGGCACAAGGCAGTGAACCTAAGAGCTGTGGCATTTTGTCTGTGGCCTCCTTTTAAAATTCATCCCAGCCTCTGGGATGATCATTCCTCGTTCATGCTGAACTGGTATCCAGTCACTGGTCTTGAGGTCTATATAACTTTAGGATTCATGGACTGGCTGCAGGTTAGGCTGTCTGCCCCTGAGATAGAGGAACCATGTTTGACAAATGGGGACAAAGGCGGTGTACCTTATTCTCTCTACTTGACTGTCTCCAAGAATAGATGGCAGCCTATGAGCAACCAGGTTTGTGAGATGAATCCCATTCTTCCTGGGCTGTGATGCTGAGGAGAGAGCCAGCTACCACTGCTGCTCATAACATCTCTAGCCCATCCCACCACCACTCCTAATCCTGCACCCATATCAGAGCGCCATATATGAACTTTCTGCTTGTGGGCACCCAACTGTGTGTCCCTAGAGAAAACCACAAATGAAGATATATGCCACAGAATGTTTCCCCAGTCTTTTAGTTTTTAATACCCAAATCTTCATGGGTATTCAATATTTGTATATGTCAATATAAGTTTTTTGGCAGGTGTGTGGGGAAAACTTACTTTTACATTAAAAAATATAATGCAACATTTTTAATACATTGTGTGGAACACTTGAGTTACATTCCAATTACAGCTTGTACAAAACATCAGAATCATCAACAAAGACGATGTGCATCTCTGATATTCTAGGAAAAGCATCACAGGCATATTGAACACAAAGTAACCATGTTGTTTTTTGGTGACAAAGAAGCACTGATGGAAGCTTTTTATTTCCAAACAATACACTTTACTTTTTATCTAAGTAGGCACTTACTGTGTTTTACTTAGATTTAAGGAAACTGTTGGAAATTTTGGGGTTTGTGTAACACATTAAAATTTTTTTCTATGTAAACCTTCCAAGTGTTGCTGATGAAATGGAGAGTCTGGAATTCTCATACACTGCTGTTAGCAATGTCAAACGGAACAGCCGCTCTAGAAAAGTTTGTTATTTTCTTGAAAAAATTCAATATACACCTACTATATGACCTCACCATTCCACTGCTATGTACAACCCAAGAGAAATGTAAACATATGTCCATAAAGAGACTAGTACATGAATGTTCATGGAAATTTGATTTGCAATAGCCGAGAACTAGGACCAATCAAAATGTCCATCAACAGAAATGGGTAAACAATTGGTGGTATAGCCACATGACAACAGAACATGATTCAGCAATAAAAAAGAACAGACTATTGATCCACACTACATGAATGAATCTTTTTTTTTTTTTAAGATTTTTATTGGGGAATTGGGGGGATGGGAATAGTGCTGGGGAATTAGGGGAAGGGGAACAGACAAGTTGCTGTCCTTTTGTTCTACAATCTAGTTGTGGAGGACATTGCTTCACTGGCCCAAGTTGGCACCATCATTGCTCTCTTCCAGAGTGAGGCAGACCAGTCGCTGGCTTCTGGACGGCCGCTCACTGCGGCTGTTGGCCGCTCATGCTGGCTGCTGGCTACACACCGTAGCCCATAGCAACCCACTGCCACAGGGGCTGCAGCCTAGCCGTCGCCGGCACAGCAGCCCAGCTCCAGGTTGAGCTGTTGTTCAGTATCTTAGCTGTGGAGGGCAGTGTAACTGGCCCTCATATGTGGGATCCGAACCGGGGCCCTCTGGCATCCCAAGCGAGTTCTTAACCATCGCGCCACTCGGCTGGCNATGCAGAGATAATGCTTTCATGTGAGATAATGATGGCCATCAGGTCACAGAACTTCTCCCAAGATGTCATGGGGCCATGGAACGGAAGATCCTAGAGCCCAGATGAGGAACCATTCATTCAGCACTGAAGAAGCAGATGAGGAAGAGAACACAGATACTCATAAGCACTTTATGGATTGAATTGAAGACAGAGACTCTATTTTGGAGGAAAATGATGAAGAAATAGACATCAACCTGCATTCTAACCTATGTTACTTGCCAGAATAGAGGGAAGAAAGGCATTCAGCCAATGACTTTTTTTTGTTGGTTTTCTTGATCTCATCTTAACCTTCCGTCATCTGAGTCTATGAAAAACAGAGGAATTAATGAAGGATCCTAGACTGCCTTCTGCCATCCTCAGCATGGGAAAGTCTAAAGAATTTATGACACATTGAGGAAGAATGACCAAAGCCACAGACACTTTTTATTAAATATGTGCATTATGCAAGCCATAGTTGCTGAGACCTTCCCATATATTATCTGAATGAAGCCCCAATATAGATATTAGGTAAGAAACAGATGAAAAAAACTCAGAGACCATTT